AGAGAGAGAGAGAGAGAGAGAGAGAGAGAGAGAGAGAGAGAGAGAGAGCATGGGCTTTTCCCTCCTACACGAATGTGTGTGTGTGTGTGCCTTTTCCAGCAGCAACTTCAAAGTTTGCCAGCAGCAGAAGCAGCAGCCGGCTCCAATCCCGCAAGACGGCGGCGGCTGCCGGGCTGGACCACATTCAAATGCGCGCGGGGCGGAGAGCCGGAGCCAGCGAGGCATCTTTGTCACTCAAACGTCTGAATGGGGTGTGCCTGGTGTGCCGCGCGCAGCCGCGCCCTATAAGAGAGCATCCCCCTGCAATCTCACAGAGTACCCCCGGCACCCCCGGCACACGAGCAGGCGCCGGGCGGGCAGCGGCGGGCGAGGCGCCAGGCAACAAATACCAGCGGAGCGTGAAATGACAAAATTTTACTCTCGTGCGCTCAGTTATTTTCTGCGCTCACGATCCTTGATCATCACACGGCTGTCTGATGCCGGAGCAGCTCGTCGTCGTGAAACACGCATTCACAAGAAAGAATAGGCTTTGTATTTATTGCACCAATTATACAGCCACCTAATTTGCAAACCGTCTGCATGGCCCGGTCGGGCCGTTCGGCAGGCTAACGACTTTTCTCCCAGAGCTGTTTGAGTTGTAACCTTTGTTACGCTTTGGAAACCAAGTGGACGAACACTGCACACCTACAGGTGAGCGGGGCGAACATATCCTCAATCTTGTAGATGTTTGTTGCAGGAGAGCGAATGACAAACTCTGTGGGGTCTGAAAATGGATGCCTTTTGTGAGTGTCCGAATCGATACGTGCCTTCATCGAGTACGAATATTCGCTTATGCTCTCTTCTACTGTAAATTTACATTCGTATAAACTTGGATTTCCGGTGATATGTTTGCAAATAATTATTAGACAGAAGAATAGCAAAATATAGTTGATGAAGCAAGAACCGGAACCCGCCGGAACCTCTTTCCTAAAATAAAATGATTTTTTCGTTTTGTAACTGTGTCGTCATAGTACGAAAAATTCCATCTCCACATCTTTGGTTTGTTTCATGTTCCATAACCCCGGTGGTGGGCGCGTCAGACAACCCTGGCGGTCCTTTTGGCTGCTCCCCCGCCGCTCCCTGCGCTGTGCACATGGGACACAAGCGGCACTTCACAGGCCTTACAGATTAAAAAGCAGAGTGCTCGGCGTGGGAGGAGGGCGGCTCCGAGTCAAACACGGAGAAGAACGAATTGGCGGAGAAGCGGGCGAATTCTCGTCGCGGGGGGGCTTTGGGGCGGATGAGTTGAGGTGGGAGGGGGCAGGGGGCGGGGTCGACAGGAAGTGGATGGTCCCACTCGTATGGTCGTGTGTGCCCTGCTCGCGGTGTAGATACATGCAGCAGGCCAATGACGAAGCGATTACGCACAAAACTGTGTCAAAAGTCATAAAAATGTAAAAAAAAAAACCTTGGTAGATGTTATGTTCGATCGGATAGAGTTCTAAATCACGTTCAATCCATCGTCCTTTTAATCTGAGGTTTACTTTGCAGCGGT